TGGTTTGTTTAAGTGAATTTTAAACCATTCAAAACAAAAAAAAACAATTGATTTCGGTTCATTACGATTCTGGTTCTATTTTAAGAAATTTAAAAGTAATTTTGAACAGAATAATTCGAGAATACTAAAATTTTAATTTATGTTTGGTTTAAATAATAATGGTTAGTTTTTAGTGAATTTTGAACCATTCGAAACCCAAAAAAAAAAATTTGTTTCATTACAATTCTGGTTCCGTTTAAATAAATTTGGTTTGTTTTAAGTAAATTTTGAACCAAATAATTCAAGAATCCTAAAATTTTAAATGGGTTTATTTTAAGTAGAATTTTGACACGTAGGCAAAATTTAAGCAGCGATGTTTTAAATAATAACACATCAGCAAAATGCTTTGAAACGTAACGAGAAACCGACACCTATACAAATCACTACACAAATAAGTATATAATTTTATTTATTTATTAATTTAACAAATCGTATGTCGTCGTAATATTACGACGAACTTACGTCGACTATTTAAAAATTTATACGATGATTAAACGATGAACTTTTTTGCAACGTATTTACGTTGATACTATTACGACGATAATACGATGATTAGGGTCATCAAAATATCGATGTAAACCGATAAAACTTCAACGTAATCGGACGACCATTAAACTCGTCGTAATTTCGTTGTGAATATTCAGTCGACTATATGAATATTATTTTACGATAATTTTAAAGCATCCCAAACAATATGATATTTTTACGACGATTTGTCATATACGACGATGTTTTTACGACGTTTTTGAAACTTTCGTGATAGCTCTTTTATATTGATTTTAAACGGTTTTGACCGTTGGAAAAGTGTTAATGAGAGCAGGAACAATGTGCAAGTTCCAGTGGATGGAAACCACAATGGAGCTAACCCTTCTCAGGTGACAGCTGAAGCTCATGCTGCATTGTTGGTAAGGTTTGGTAAACTGCAGGATGAGCTTAACCCACCAGTGAATGTTCAGCAGCAGAATGTGCCGCCTCCTACGCTTGTGCACCAGCAGTTTTTGCTGCCTCCAGTGAATGCTTAGCAGCAGTTCGTGCTGCCAATGAATGTGCAGCAGCCGTATGCACCTCCGCCGTATCATCAACAGTTTGTGCCACCACAACCTCTGGTGCAGTCTAATGTGTTTGCATTAACGTATTACTAGGCAATGAGGCACTAGAAGGACATGAACATGGAATTGTTTGGAGGAAGGTCTGATCTTGTCAGTGCTGACAATTGGAGGAAGAAACTGGAGAAGAATTTTGAGACCATGAGATACCCGGAAGGTTACCGAAGGGAGTTAGCAGTTCAGTACCTACAAGATAATGCGCTGATTTGGTGGGAAGGTTTGGTCGAAGGAGTTCGTGGATGCTATGAGCTGACATGATATGACTTCAAAGATGAGTTATCTCGTGAGTATTTTCCACCAGAGGCCATGGACCTGATGAAAAGTGCTTTTGAAGATTTGCGCCAAGGAAATCTCAGTGTGAGAGAGTACAAGAGGAATTAAACAGGTTGAGAAGATTCTCCATAAAGAGTTTCACTCAGGCTGATCTGATTCGTCTATTAATGAAATGTTTGAGGTTGGAACTGAAGAATTGTTGTTCGATCAGGAGGTACCTGAGCATGGTTGAGCTTGTGGAAACAGCTGCTATTCAGGAAGTTGGTCTTGAGGAAGAGCTGAAGAAAACCAAGTGTATTCAGGCTCATAGTAGTGCTCCGCATATTCAGAAGACACAAAAGAAGACTTGGATGGACATGTCTGAAGCATTCCTTCTGAGAATGCCCCGATGTGTAAACGCTGTGAGAAGAGACACTTTGGATGCTGTGGAATAATCAGGTGTTTCAGATGTGGAAGGCATGGACATCTCACTAAGGATTTTGGTGCTTAAGGCAAAGACAGACAGTATTCAGGCTCAAGGGATTTTGGTTCTTTAAATGTGGGAAGTGTGGGCACTTTGCCAAGGATTGCAAGATAGGTTTTCCCAATCAGCAAGCTCCCGCAGTTCAATATGGACCGTTACCAGAACCACCAGCTAAGAGGCAAGCTGTGGGACCGTTAATGTACGCACTTACGGAGAATGAAAGAACAGAACCTATCGCTGGTACGTTAATGAATTGTTTTCTTTTTTATTTAGCTGGTCGTGAAGCTTATGAAATTGAATGAAATGGAAATTGCGTGCTTAGACATAACTATAAAATTATGTAGGATCGGTCTCCGTAGGGGAGGCGATAGCTTACACTATGTTTGACACCGGTGCTACGCATAGTTTCGTGAGCCCGAGGTTGAATAAGTGTTGGACTTTTCCTAGAAAGTTCAAACCGAAGTTAAAAGCAAATGAGACTGCCGGGACTGAACAGGTAAAGTTTATTGGTGTGTACGAGGATGTGCCAGTCCTGCAGGAAGGAGCGGAGCTTCCATAGAATTTGGTGGAGATGAAGTTGGGCCAATATGACGTGATACTTGGAATGGACTGGTTGACGCACTACCAAGTCATTATAGACTGTAAAAGACGCAAGCCTATATACCACGACCAGAAGGAAGGTTAACATTTCAAGGAACCATGACGGATACTGGTGTACTGATAATCTCGATGATTCACGCCAAAAACTTAATGGAGAAAGGATGTGAGGCGTATCTGGAGATGATTTCCATGACCAGAGACGCAGACATTACGGAGAGATAGGAAGATATAGTAGTGGCCAACGAGTATGCGGACATGTTTGAACCGTTAACTGGACCGCCACCATCACGAGGAGATGATTTCACTATCGAGATAAAACCAGGGACGACCCCTGTTTCGAAGACTGCGTATCAGCTAGCACCAGCTGAAATGGCTGAATTAAAGAAGCAGTTGGAGGACCTTACAGACAAAGGTTTTATCCAACCAAGCAGTTCACCATGGGGAGCACAAGTATTGTTCGTGAAGAAGAAGGACGGAAGTTTTCGTATTTGCATAGATTACCGTGGGCTGAATAACGTGACGTTTAAGAACAAGTACCCTTTACCATAAATCAATGAGTTGTTCGACCAAATGCAAGGAGCTTTGTGGTTTTTGAAACTTGATTTAGCATCAGGCTACCATCAGATTCAAATGGCTGAAGAGGATATTAAGAAAATGGCATTATGAACCTCGTATTATGCCATTTGGATTGACAGATGCGCTAGCTGCATTTAAAAAATTGACGAACAATCTCTTTCGAGCGTACTTGGACAAGTGTGTGATTGTTTTCATCGACGATATTTTGGTCTACCCAAGAACAGAGGAGAGCATGCTTGGCATCTGCAATTAGTGTTTCAGGAGCTAAGGAAGCATCAACTTTTCACTAAGCTGAGCAAGTGCAGATTTTGGAAGAGAAAGATAGGATTTCTTGATTATGTTATCTCAGAAGAAGGGGTAGCAGTAAATCCTGAAAAGATTGCTGCTGTGATGGAATGGCATGTTCCTAAAAATGTTATAGAGGTCTGTAGCTTTTAGGGACTAGCTGGATATTACCGCAGATTTGTGCTGGAATTTGTGAGGTTGACAAAGCCATTGTCAATTTTGAATAGACAGAGGCTCAGAATAAAATTTGTGAGGAGTTGAAGAAGCGTCTGATTGAAACTTCAATACTGGTACTTCCAAGGACAGGAATACCATATGAATTCTACACTGATGCCTGCGAAACGGGATATGTAGTGTGCTTATGCAAGAGGGAAAAGTCAAAGCATATGCCTCGAGACAGTTGCAAAAGCCCGAATTGAATTATCCCACTCATGATTTGGAATTAGCAGCAATTGTGTTTGCTTTCAAAATCTGGCGTGCTTATTTGTACGGAGAGAAGGTTCAAATATACACAGATAACCAGTGTTTAAAACATGTTTTCACCCAGAGTGATTTGAATTTGAGGCAGCGAAGATGAATGGAGTTGTTAGCAGATTATAATTTGGATATTGCCTATGGCCCGGAAAAGGTCAATCAAGTGGCATACGCTTTGAACCGTCGCCGAGGAGATGTTGTTAAGGAAACGAAAATGGAGAATTTAACCACAACCTTAGCAAGACAGAAGTGGAAGAAAATTTTACGGGGCTAGAGGTATTGGAAAATGCGGATCTACTGTAGAAAATTAGCCAGAAGCAGATAAATGATAATGCTTTAAAGGAAATGGTCGAGAAGCTAGTGGTTGGGTACCACACCGCAGAAAATGGACCCTATATGTACAAGAATCGAGTTTGTGTCCCGAACGATGAGGAGTTGAGGAAAAAAATGTTGAGCTAGGCTCATAACTTGAAATTATCTATTCATCCCGGAGGTACCACGATGTATCAAGGTCTGAAAGATACTATCATTGGGGAGGAATGAAGAACGACATATAGAATTGGATCTCTTAGTGCACAACATGCAAGGAGGTAAAGGCAGAATGCATGGTCCCTAGTGGACTACTTCAGAGCTTACCATTACCAGAATGCATATTTGGATAATTGTGGATAGTCTGACTAAATTTTCTCATTTTGTGCCAATACAAAAAACTGATGGAGCAAAAAATTTGGCGCAAAATATTGAGATGTGATTGTGAGGCTACATGGAGTTCCGGTCAGTATTGTCTCGGATAGAGATGCAAAATTCAAGACTGCGTTATGGAAATTATTTCAGAAAGCGCTAGGGACAAAAGTGCATTTGAGTACGGCTTATCACCCCCAAACTGATGGTCAATTGGAAAGGACGATTCAGACCTTGGAAGACTTACTAAGATCTTGTGTTCTTGACTGGGAAGGAAATTGGGGAAAGTATCTTCCGTTAGCGACATTTTCTTACAATAACAGTTATCATGCTAGCATCAAAATGGCTCTGTATGGAAGACCATGCCATACACCCCACTGCTGGACCAGTGTGGGAGAAATAAGGGAAATGAATCCTGAATTGGTAACGATGCCGCCGAGCAGGTGGAGTTTCTTAAGTCAAGGATAAAAGAGGCTCATGATCGCCATAAGAGTTATGCAGATATGCGCCAGAATGAATTGTCATTAGAAGTAGGAGATGAAGTGTACCTGAAGCTGAGAGTCTTCAGAGGAAATAAGAGGCACCAGAAGCTGAAAAAGCTTAAGCCAATGTATATGGGACCATATCCTATAGTCGAACGAATTGGAGAAGTTGCATATTTACTACAACTGCCTCAGGAGTTGTCTGAACTTCATGATGTGTTGCACATTTCGCTACTGAGGAAGGTAGTAAGAGAACCAGAGTTCATTTTGCCTAATCCACCAATCGACTTAGAAGGGAATAAGGTTGATGGTAAAAAGACCAAGATAGTAAAAATTAGATGGGTAAGAGATAGCATTCGCGAGGAAACATGGGAGTTGGAGCAGCAGATGAGATATGAGTACCCTGAACTCTTTCCGGACGAAATGGAAACCAATGAGGAGGGAATGTATTTGGGGACAAATTCTTTTTGACTGGGAATTCTTTTTGACGGGGAAGAATTGTAACATCCCAGCCCAGCCAGAGGCCCAGCAGGAGGCCCTGTTTCAGATCCTGCAGAAAAATTCCCAGCCGCAGAGAGAGAGAGAGAGAGAGAGAGAGAGAGAGAGAGAGATCGAGGAGCAGCAGCCACCAGGAGCAGCCACTGCCTCTGATCAACGTTCCCTTGCCTCCCGAGACTTCACCAAGCCACCCTAAGCTGCCGTAGGTCCCGCCAAACCGTCGTAAGCCTTTTGCAAAGCTTGCAGAGTTGCCGCGAGCCAAACCCGAGCCGAGGAGGTGCCACCGAGAGCCTTTGCCATCCCGTCGCTTGCTTTATTCCTTTGATTCTCAGTCTCCTTGATCGAGATCTGCAAATTTACCAAGGTGAGGATTAGATCTTGGATTTTTTAGTACCTTATTTGTTTGTTTTTGGTGTATTGATTCTAGAATTATTCAGGTAGTTGATAGATGCATATAGTTAGAGCATGGGAAGGTGAATTGATTAGGAAAAGGCATTAGATTAAACACCATCATACTTGCTTGTCACCTCGTTGATTGTCTAATGATTGTAGGGTAGCTAGAATGAGGTGATCGACCTAAGAAATGGCACAATGGTTCGATTATTGTTTGCTGGGGTTCATTCCTAAAAGAAAAGATCATCCACATCTCTTGGTGGTAGAGGCGAACTACATGAAATGTCTTTGTGACCAATAAGATTTTGCCATGCTTCATTAGAATGATGAAGAGTTTGTCATGCCTCGTTAGCATGATGATAGTTTGCCATGCCTTGTTAGCATGGTGATCCTGTGTGTGTGCCTTGCTTGTGTGTTTGTAGAGCACTTTTTGTTGCTTGTTTAGTTTTAGGCTTGATATGTTGGAAATAAACGGATAATATAATGAGAATGTGGATTTAGTCCTTACTGAGTGATTTCCCAATTGCTCACCCATCAGTCTCTCTTTTCAGGTGAGTAAAAAGATTATGATCTTGATGGCTACGAAAAGTAGTCCGAAGTTGTGTGCTTTTGGGATGAGTTTTTCTTAATCTTTATTTCAATTTCAGTATTTCTTTTAATTTTTCTTCGTAATTTGATTCAGTTTTACTTTTAAGTTTGAGTTATGAATTTTTAATTGTAAGACTTTAGTTTTATTAAATGAATAAGAGTATTATTTAAAAGTGTGGTGCAGTAAACCGATTTAAAATCAAAAGTGAATATTGCGGTTCATGGGTCAGGAGTTCACAAACACAATAAAAACAAAACAACACATTTTTTTGAAGAAAACTTAGTCTTCCTTTTATTACATAATTGGAAGCACAATAAATAGGAAAAGCAACTAAGGGCGCGTCTCAATTTTCTCGAAACGTGGTAACATTTCTATTATTAAACAATTTAAAAATTAAATAGAGAAACACTTAAGAGTTTGGTTTGTATCGGTTTAGCTTTTGACCGATCGTAGACTCATCAGGCTAATACTCAAGCGCACCTAGAGCCCCGTCCTAATGAGCTTAATAAGTCATTAAACAGAATGGTCAAACTCATTAATTAAGTCCGAGTTAATGCAACACTTGACCACAAAAAAACGTTGTACAAAAAGACGTTGTACTCATTAATTATGTCCGAGGACGATCGACAATTCGACATAGTCAAAGATCCAATCTTTTCTTACGTTTGAGTAATATAACAAAAACTCTTGTACTCTCATCAATAAAATTTCGATTTTTTCCATCTGATTTTATATTTTCATTACGTATTTCCTTTGAGAAATCTTCTTAATTTGAAAACTTTAGATCAAATTAATATTATGAAACCGGATCTTTCATCCAAAGACGGAGGAGAAATCGTGGAGGGAGAGTATTAGAGATAGTTTGGGGAGCACGATGTGTATCTTGCAAACTAAGTATTGTAGGCCATCAAAGCCCGACTATGACATCAACCTGTGAAACTCGAAAGAAGAATTCTCTAGATCTTGATATATTCTTAGCATATTTCCTTATGTATTTTGGAAAGTTTACATTATGTGGGTATTAGCATTATGTTAATGTTACCACTATATATATATGTATATATATATTCTCTCATATCAAAACAACTCAATAATATATTATATTCTATAAGATTTTTCATAGAGCAATCGACAGACTTTGGTGTTGGTGATTCAGTGGATGTTGAGGATAGTCTCACAGTCAGCAATCGTTCTTGGCTCATGTGCTTTTGTCCGATTTGACTGGTTTTATTCGGTTCAATTGTAAACTATCTTCAAATTTCTGGTACAGTTCGATAAAAAGGTTTATGTACTTTTTTAGTTTGAAAACAGTTTAACTAAAAAAAATACTTAAACCAGTTTGAACCGAATTAAATGCTTCCTTTAATCAAAATTAAATCATGATTAAATGAAACCAATCCGAATTTAGAAATTTAATTGAATATAATTCAGTTAAAACTAAATAAATCTTGTTTTAATCGAATTAATGATGCAAGCTAGAGTTGCTGTCGCAAAATAGTTTTAAATTTATAAACCCTAGTGTCTGCAAGTGCACAACTGTGCGTTATAGTACTTAGGGTGTCGATCCACAAGGAGAGTTGTCTTTTCTGCAGAAACTTCAAACAGGATTAGTAATCGAACTCAAAGACCAATGGGGGTTTTTTTGGGGTTTTGGTGTACGATTTCTACTAAGCTAAACAGGAAATAAAAATAGATCAAAACAAGGTGCTGGGCATTAGGGTTCATCTCTAGGGTTCATGATCTATGACACAAGGAATCTATGTAAGGATTTTCTATGATTCTGAAACTACAATAGACACTTGTAAGATTAGCCAACTCTCGTCACCCTAATCATCTAATCACTTGTCCTTGGCAATTAACTCTCGCTCTCATGCCAGAACAAGATCATGCATTGTAGCTCGGAATCCATCTCGGCATACGTATCCTCCATAGGTAGCTTTCGTCTCCTACGACGGTGATGTCCATAAGATCCAGTTCAGGCAACCCAGATACAACACTCTCGTGGCTCGGATTTAACCTAGGATCGGACACTGGTTAGCTACTCCAGCGTTACCGCATTGAGATTTGGATGAATGGGAGAATCATTTAAAATCGAAATCCTTTAACCTAAAAACCTAGATGTCATCGATCATGGGGCCCCTTTTCGATGGCCCTCTTCACCCAGCAAGGTGACTACTCATACATGGCTGAGCTTGACAACATCATCATTGGCTTTGAAATAGAAAAGCAGTAAAGTAAAAGAGATTTGCATAAACTGAATAGATAGATGAAAAGAAACAGCAAAGGTTAAAGAGAAGAATCTCTATCTCCCTAATCTTTTTTTTTTTTTTCCTCTACCCATCTATTACATCACTATTAGCCAATCGTAGAGGAGGTCCGTGGACCGCCATTGACAGGCTCGGTATGATCGATATGGGTGAAAATTTCTCCTCTTACGCGGGCTCCTTTTGCAAGACTATCCGCCCGGATGTTTTGATTCCTATGGATATGAGAAAGCCGAAATTCCGAGAAGCACTTGCGGAGGATATCGAAGCTGTTCAGCTCAGACACAAACAAAGGCCAATCTTCCGGAGTCTCAGACATGGTTACCAGGTCTAAACAGTCCGTCTCAATGTGAATCGAGGAGATCTGCCTATCTCTCAAAACAGTCATAGCCCATATGAGGCAATCCATCTCAGCATGAAGTGCTGAGAGGCTTCTGCGACACCCCTGCTGACCGACCAGTTCTGTACCTCCACCATCCACCAGTGTCCACTCGAGTCCACTAACCGGTCCGTGGTCTATCCAAGACGCATCGATTCGGCATAGTGGAATCCGCCGATTTTCAGATGTAGAAATCGGTGTCTGGGGAGCTCCTGGTGTCTCCCTAATCTAAACTTAAGAAATAAAAGTTTGGTGTCTCCCTATCAAGGGGAAAGGAGCACACCCGAAATTAGGTCTTCTAAAATACATATTTATAGGTCTCCAAGTGTTTCTGGTCGTCCTTAGGGCTTCTTTTGCAGAGAGAATGAGTTGGGCTTGAAAAAAGGCTGTTAGACTGTTTATGGGCTTCTCGCAGAATTGGGCTCTCCAAGGCTGGTAAATATGGGTCCACCATGGCTGGAGGCTCTGAGGCGTGGTTAGGATATTATTCACCGCGGTCACGAGCTCCTGGACCGCGATGGTTGGTATATGATCTCCAAACATCATTCCTTCTCTTGCTTCTTTCGCGAGGCTGCAGAACATGTCTTCAGTAAATTGAAAATAATTTATGATCCAACCGTTAGAGTTCTTTTATTTTACTTGTATTCGAAAGATGGTTGTATCCTCTATCTTGTGTCTAAATTTGAGCTTGATCGGACGGTGAAAAGGTCTTCATCGGATGTGCAAGTTCTGACGGTCCGAAATTGGCCAAAAGTGGATTTTTCTCCAATTTGCATTGTTTTTGCCTAAGAAACCTGAAAATTCTTTTAAAACTCCAAAACATGGAAAACACTTATAAAACCTTCAAAAATGATTGAAAACACCTGCATAAGATACTGAAAGTGATCCATAAATATGGTCAAAATCAGGTGTTATCAACTCCCCCATACTTAAATATTTGTTTGTCCTCAAACAAAACAAAAGATCTGAACCTGGAAAAGAGGTTTGAAAATCGCAGGAACTAACAAAATCCCAGAGACCATGCTTCTTAAACCAAAGTTAGTCATTATGCTCAGATCAGGTATAGTCTAGAAAATTCTCACCAAAATATAGGCATAACTAGTCCGTTGATCCGTCATGTGAAAGTCTAGACACTTAAACCTATCTTCCAGTCAACTACCTATTAAAATTCATTCACAAGTTCCAGTGGTTCTCATCAGAAGGATTTTAGTAAAGCAATCAAGGCTAGGTATTCAAAATGGCTCTTTTAGGGGTGAGGTTTGATGTGTTTAGGGTTACCTTTTTGTGGAGAGACAAGACATTATGCAAAACAATAAGAGAGGATGGAACTGTTGATGCCCCCACAGTT